GCCAATATCGTTGTCATTCATAAAACCCATAAACGGCCATGTCCTTCTGTAAAGAATACTCAGCCCGGCGGGGCCAAATGGCATTGCATTTACCAGTTCATGTGTGACTGCGGCGCCAGTTACGTAGGCAGGACGGATAGAATAAGGAGTTCTCGAATAAAGGAGCATGCATTTAAGTGAGTTCGACTTTCGACCGCACAGGAAATTGGCCAGAGTCTAGCTGGTTGTCTGCGTAAGCCACCAGCCTCTTCAATCTGCCGACACTTAATGACCACAAGTGACTGAGCCGGGGTCTCTTCGGCGTTCACAATCCTGTTACAGCCCACTGATTTTCGCCTCCTCCGTTTCTCAGCAGCGATTGCAATTAACCGGATTAAGCTGCTGCTTTGTGTTCAGAAATAGTTGTCGGTCAGCATTAGTCTAACCGTTGGGATAGGGGTGATAACCCAGTCTCGTTTATCATTTGTTGGCCTGTTTTTTATTGGCATGTATGTTTGGTCGCACCCTTCACGGAATAAATATTATTGCGAGATTTGTTTAAGGTACTAATGAGACAAGGCGAAATGCGTGCATTTGCTGGTCTTCGTCATCTTATTGCACTTTTCCTATAAATATATACTTGATACTAAACATTAGATAAAACGGCACCAAAGCACTGGTGCTACTGATGTCTGTTGCGTGCTAGCACAACAATTGTTTTCAGCCAAAGGATTCCCGGGTCAAATGGTCTCCAACCTAAGAGGAGCACTGATCCGACTGAAGCTAAACTTGAAGCTGCTTTCCTAATGACGCAACAGCAACTATGGCACCGGGAAGCTCTGTTCATCACGAGAAGGTCAAATGTTCAGGCGGCTTCTTGTCTTTGCGAGTGGGTAGCATGTTTGGAGCCATCGCCTGTGTAAAACGCAGCCTTTTTTCTAAGTGATTGAAGGATAAGTTGCTCGGCAACCTTTTAACGCAGTCAACGATCGCTGCACCAAGTATGACTAAATTTGGCGGCCTAAAACACCCACCTGCAGATTGGAAGCACTACGCCATAGGTATTCTAGTTAAAATCGGTGAAATGGATACAGGAGAATGCGTTTGTCCAACATGTCGTTCTATCCCACGAGTAGCCTCTCTACTTTTGCTTTCGTGATCTTTACGCGCAGTCGTGTAACACAATTACATGCTACGCCCCCATAGTTTAGAGCCATGACTGTGTTCTTACCTTGTCTATGACTCTACAGAAGCTACCACTGTAAAATCAACTTGTAAGGATTTTCGGTCGCATCCGTATTAATCATTTGGGTAACAGGGTCATTCAGCTCCCTTGGGTTCATGTTTAAGAATAAGTCCCACCAGGACAAAGATGGACCATGCTTTGGTCTCGCCTCTTGTAATTACTTGACGAGTTTGTCCACTTATGCGCCAAATGTAAGCGGTACTATACCCCGGCGGTGGCGAAGGGGACTCGCTTGGAGACTTCGGTGATACAGTGCTTGGTGATAAAATTTCAAGGAATCCGGAGGCTTTAGGTGATAGCTACGCTATAAATCATCTCGGAATAACAAGATATGATTGCAGTGGTGAGCTAAATGTCGCTATGATCTTAGCTTAGCTCAAAATGCGAAACCAAATCCGAAGTTTTGTAAAACTATGTATAATCAAAAGCTTTTTTGAGGGAGGATAATTTGTAATTTGTTTATTTCACAATTATAACACCGTATGCTGGGATTCTCCAGTATCCCGTCTTGACTCTTTTTAACGGTTATCATCGAAACGCATGCTACCACAGGACTGGAAAAAGATGAATATTGTAGCTGTTTATAAGGGGCTCACGGAGTCTGTGCCACTGGATTACTAGCCGGTAACTTCGAGAAGTGTTTTGATTAAGTGCTTGGAGAATCTTATTAGGTTGGTTGTTAACCACCTGATTAGAGTAAAAAAAACATGGGTTCCTTAAAAAATGCATGTCTTACAAATCTGTTACCATGCCCCGACGTCGGGTTCTAGTGGAGGTCTGACACCTTGGCTTCAGTGTAACATTTGAATCAGTTAGTAGTCGAATTTTATTAATTAAGTCAACTTAGTTTGGAAAGCATCTCTAACTGATGACTTGATTGTTGGATTTGCACTGTGCTGAACTTCCCAGGTTAGTGTTGGAGAGGCTAGATGACATTTCTTCACTGCTCAAAGATGGATTCCATAGGATTCTGTGCTAGGAACATTTCTGCTCCTTATGTTTATAATGGACTTTGTTACTTTCCTTGATGACCCCTGTTATACCTGTGTACGACGTAAAGTTTGTCAGTAGGGAAATAAAAAACGTTGACCAAATACCAGGGTACGGTAGTTAGGTCCTCAGGATTGTGAGGTCTGGCACTGGATGCCAACAAATGTTAACTTTTGATATCAAGCACCGTGGGATTGCGGTACAAACTTCCACTTGGTATTGCAGTGCATAACCAAGGCGAGCTTGTTAGGTATAGTCATGGTGCCTGGCTTCCGGTCATATGCGCAGTTTCAACCTGCTGCTAACAGGACGCAGTAGGAGCACTTGCGCTCAGGTGAGCGGCGTACAATATGAAAGCGGAAGTCTTCCTACCTATGTACAAGGCGGTTGTTTGGCCGCACATAGAGTATTGTGTTCAAACTTGGGCAAGTTAACTTCGAACGGATGCCGTTTGCTTATTAATGGTACAAAATATAGCAACTAGAATGATTGAAAGCCAATGTGTATCAACTGCCTAGCTCAGTTGGGCTTATTCTCAACGAAACGGCGCAGATAAAGGGGCGGCTTAGTAGAAACATTTGAACGTACGTAGCCTATCAGTGGCATTAACCATACCGATCTAGTTGAAGGAACTACGTCGGTCCACCTGCAGTACACTAAGAGAAGTTCATGCAGTTGGTGTTCGGAATGGACGACAGAGCGAAAATTTTCTGGAATCGCCCAGTACATTGTTTGAAGCTGTTTTCCGATGCACTATTTGAATGCAACTCGGTAGAAGACTATAAACCAAGCTTACATATGAATTGAGTGACTTTGTTTCCGGGACTGCACTGAGATTAGTCGGAGGTATACCAAATAGCCCGTGGTCGATAGAATATCAGTGCTAGTTTTAGGAAGTTATGAAAGGGTACGCTTAACAACTTTTATCTATGTTTGGAGCAATTAAAACTTCAAACGCCTAGACGCAGGTGTATTGGCTTGGCTACTGACTAAAGAAACTGGATGCTTGTTAGGCAAATGCCTCTTCCGTCCTTGAGGATTGTCTTGACTAGATGTGGCCTGGTGTAGACGATATGTGCAGCCAGGAAAAATGCATTCACTTATACGCTTAGAGGTGTACTTGCAAACCTTTTCAGGAAACATTTCGCCCAAAATGTGTCGCATTAGCATGACCAAGGGCATAAAGAACGTGCACTCTAGTAAAAATGTTTCTGTCATTCGTGTTATGTCATGTGTCAAAACATGACGGAATCGAGAAGCAAAATTAGCTTTTGCTTATCGGGCGTCCTGTTTTGTATGCCAGTACGTGAACAGATAAACTCAAACCTAGGCTCGACATTCGGTTTTGGCGTGGGTAATGGAGAAATCCAGGAAGAAAAAGCAACCACACCATTTTCACTGGGTTTCATAGGCCAGTTGCACTCAGTTAGATGCTGCCACAAATTCTCATAAATGGTTTGAAACAGCAGGAATCAATTTTTGTTCAGGCATCGCTTGAAGTTCTCTACCGCCGTACATTCTAATAATGCCGTGGGAACTTTATTCGAGCCAGGCACTGGCTGATTTGAGAAGGACTTAACTCTTACATAAGGTCTAGATCTTTGCGATTTCAGCTCTAGACAATGGCCCAGCAACCGGTTCCATACAGCTGGTTCAAAATGAGCAGTAGGCCTGAGACCACTAGGATTCTTCATAACTTTGAGTGTATGGCGTAATCGTTTGGTCTCTATATGTCAGGTTCGTCCCACCTCAAGGAAAAGTCGGAAAAAGACAGGTGTGGTCGATAGGTACAGTCCTGTTAGCTGAAGGTACTGCAAAATGGTTCTTGCTAGAAGAAAAATATAGTCATTAAAACATTGGAACAATGTATTTGATGGGAATAAAAGCTGGAGCATTACATGACCCATAGGGTAAAAAGAGTACGGGTCGGGTTTAATGAAAGGCCAAGCAACCTTATAGCGGGTTGGACTCGCGTGTTAGCCGTATCTTCATCGGGCTTATGTGGCATTTAAAACAGAATGCACGCCGGCTCAAAGCGAGACATCCCACCACGCCCTCCGAAACGGCTTTGGAAAGGAAGTAGGTGGAAGGAAAAAAAGAAAGAAACTCCATCCAGTAGAATGTAATTAAATTAGGGAATATCGCGGTGTAGCTCGGCCAGATGACAGTCCAACCGGGCCTTAAAGTCCGCCACAGTGGGTGCCAAGACTAAATCAGCCGGCAGAACATTCCACGGTCGGCAGATTCGCAAAGAGAAGTAGTGTCGTCTGCAGTTCAGCCGACTGTGCTGACGTGTGAGCCTCAGTGGGTGGCCACGTAGGTGGGAGCCCGATTGGTGCAGTGTGAGTAGGTGGCGACAGGGATGTCCAGGGTTGGTTAAGATCAAGAATACGAGAATCAGGTCGCCCCGTAGACGTCCGTACTTAAGCGAGTAGAGGCCCAGGCACTGAAGTCGTTGTGGATAATCTAGGTGCTTGAGAGCTCGGACCAGTTTGGTTGCTCGACGTTGTGGGGTTTCGAGTATGCGTTGGTCCTTCAACAACCAAGGGCTCCAAGCCTGAATAGCGAACTCCAAGTGGGGTCGGAGAAAAGCGTTAAGGAGGAGGCGGAAATTGCTGGGGTCAATTTGACCGAAGGCTCGTTTCAGCAATCCCACCATGCGGTTAGCAGCAGCAGCTGCTTTCCGGCAGGAAGCGGATACGGAAAGACTCGTCTGGGTAATGATACCCAAGTCTCTTTCGGCTGAAGAGATCTGGAGGATAGACGCTCCCAGGGAATATACAGGAGAAAAAGCGGAAGGGCGGGTAGAAAGGACGCGACATTTCGAAGCGTTAAATGGAAGGTTATTTTCTATGGATCACTGATGTAGACGGTCGAGGTCCGTCTGAAGTGCGTGGGCATCGTCCGGAAGGTTAATTGTGCGCCACAGCTTGGCGTCGTCCGCGTATAGTAGCAGCGAAGACTCCATTTGCGGTGTGACGTCGTCAATGAAGGCTAGGAAGAGGTGCGGTCCGAGAACAGACCCCTGTGGAACTCCGCTTGTGGCAAGGATGCGGGGAGACAACGCTCCGTCGACGCGTACTTGGAAGGTACGGTTTTGGAGGTAGTTCCGGATCCAATCCATCAAGTCCCCTGAAACGCCGTAAGATGACAGTTTCCGCAGCAGAATCTTGTGGTCGACCTTGTCGAAGGCTTTGGCAACGAAAATCGTTCTTGGCCAGAGTCGGCTGCAGTCGTCCAGCTGTCCCTGGCAAGTAGCAGGTTACTCAGGCAAGACCGTTGACGCCGGAAACCGTGCTGGCAATCAGAGAGCAGTTTCTGGGCCTCCATGTGATCCGTTAAAGCGTCTGCGACGATCGATTCCATCACTTTGGAGATCGTACATAGGAGAAGCAGCAAACGCTCTTTGAGGCGGAAAAGTCAGTGGCGCGCAAATGCCTTTCGTCTGGGTGACTCAAACAAACATAGTCATCGTGTGAACAGGCAAGCTTACCACGTTGTCTATGTACAGAGTGGTATCATATTTTAATAATATTTTACACAGATAAACATGACAATTTCTAAGTCACTACTAGTGCATCTATTAAGTTTCACTAAAGGTGCGACTTATCATTGAGAACATGCTTTTTAGTTAGCCGATCTTCATACGGTATCCGAAGCTGTTATTCCACAACTGAAGGAGTCGCTGTCCGCACACTCTCAATATATTTGATATCCATCTTCAGATAGGGTATCTAGGTCTGAACACGGTATTGCAAATGTTGTCTAACTACTGCTTTATACAAAGGAAGAAATACCTTGGACTTTTTACTACACAGAGCTCTGCTGAGCCAAAAGCTGCTCTTTTGCTTGGTTAACCTTAGGCTTACCCTGCGCTAACGGTTTGAAATTAATAGTCACGGTGCTGTTAAGATAACGTGCTTTGGTAGCACTCTGCAGTGCCAGGGACCAAACCGTGGCATGCAATACGTCTTCAACATTTGGAGTCAAGATTTGGCAATTACTGGCTTTAAAGAGCAAATTCAATGAGCGTGACTACTTAACAAGCGTACCGAAATGTTTGCATAGTGTAGCCATACCATCCTTGCTAAAAATTTGAAATCAGCAGTAGAAAGCTAGGAGGGTCATTAAGTAAAGGGCTTAATACACTGATAAACATAAGAAACAGTAATTACGGTCCGTTGACGGATCAAGTGCTTACTCTTGCTTTACTCTACTATAAGCGGTACCTTTGCTCAAAGTACCAGTAGCAACATTAACACAAAACACCTTACCGCAGATAAACAGACAGCCAAGGATGCATCTGTGAGTTGAGTCCAAGCCAGGTAACCTAGTCTAACCTAAAGCGGTGATTCACTGTAACAAATAACATAGATATTCATGGATACCATCCCTGCTAGACCTAACGATATTCATTCATGCATTGGGTTTCACTAGACTATTGAGATCAAGAGAGAGAGCCTCTGTCAGCTATATCGGTTTCGAAGCATTACAAGGTGGGTGCATGCTGTTGAGCGACGTCATCTCTTCGGACATAGTCACCTTTAAAGTAAGAGCAGCAGAACCTGCCATGTTCATCGGGTAAGCGTCTAGCGATCTATTAAAACTTTCCTCTCCCTGCAAATCGATCTGCAGATATTATTGAACAATAATATGTTACAAAGGACCATTCCAGAAAGTTACTACGCTAGAAGATAGACCAGCTTGTAAACTGGTGTGTAGTATCCTCGCCTTAATTAGCTTTTACTTGTAGCCATTTCTCCAACTGCCCATATTGAGGCAGAAGAACTGTAGGACTAGGATATGCTAGTCCGAGATAGTGTGTATGCGCTGGTGCAGGTACTATAAACCCGGAAGAATGGACACAACGGCTTGAATGCGAAGATGGCTACAAAATCACGAAAAACGAATGAAGCGACAAGGGCGTACGTCATTGTCGGAACTCACCGTGGACACAACCCTGACTGACCAAAATGTATCGGTTCGAGTGACATCTAGATGTGACTGAATGACCAACTTTTGTGCCAATGGTTAGCACAATAGGACACTTTTGGACGGCTTTTGGTCACTCAGAATATTTGCTTCGGAGCCACACTTAACAAGCAACTAAACAGAATTTTCCCTAGTTGCAAACACCGGCAACATTAAGACGGACTCAATTACCAACTTGCAACTACGTAATAGTATAGCCGTTAAGATAAACGAAAATGTTTTCCAGTGACCAATAGGTCTCCAACTGGTACGGCCGGGTGCACACAAAATGTTCACTCAGGGTGGGTCATTAACGCTGAGTGAAATTACGAGTTCCTCAAAAGGTTACGCATTTTAGGCAACGTACAGAGCTGCCGAAGAATTATAATTATATTTAACGGCATATCTGGACAGCTTACAACATTTATCTTCATACCAACTTTTTGGTTCTGCGAGTGACCATAAACACTCTTAAATGGACCTGCTGACAGTCCAGCGTAGTTATAAGACGGACGTAGGTAAACGTGCCCATTGGGTTAGCTTTAAGCAAAAAGCCATCAGGTGCCATTCAGGAACAAAGCTGTACATTAAAATCTAAGCAATGTCTTTTGGGTTGATAAAGTACGGTTGCAGATCAATTGCAAGATCTCCAGGATGATGCTCCCACTGCTTACGTCATCTGACACCGAATTTGGTTGTGAAAATTAATAACCGATATGTTTTCGATTTCCTATTTATTTACTCGCTTGAGTGAAATTTCATTGAGGTGCGCGCGTACTTGCAAGACGGCATGCAATGTACGCATGCATTTATCAATCATCCAAGCACACGAAACAGGTGTACGTTTAATACCACACTTAGAAAACGATGCATTACCTCATTTTAACTGATTGTACTTCAATGACTTTAATTGGGATGTTGGTTCATTTTTGAGCAGTCAAAAGAAGCGGCGTTTGGGAGCTGTCCTAAGTCAGATAAACCGACTGAGAAAAACAATATTTCAACCAAGCAAAACTTTTCGTGGCTTCGCTAAACAAGGTACATGTAGCCAACATAGGTTATATGATTTGTTACTAATAGTAAGTTTAATGGTTACAATAATTATTATTTCACACAAGTAAGGTGTTAAATTTTGGCGCCAATTCAACTCCCCAGGAGGTCAAATGACTTACTTCCTTTAAAGATTATTTTTGGCCTTCTACCCGTCACACATCTTTAGCAGCAAAAGAGCCTGATGATGGTCAAACAATGGTCAGTTTATAGAGTGATCGCCCAGGCACTATAAATAGTTCGTCTCGTCTTAAAAGCAATCAAAACAAGATGAGTTAATTGGCGAGATATACATTTATTGTCGTAACGTACAATCAAGCTAGCTAAAGGTTCTAGATAGGGGAGAGGTATAGTTTTCAAAGCAGATATTGCGAGCATCCCTCGACGGGAAGCCGGAAGAGCGTGGTATGCGATTCGGCTGATTGAGGCAAACGCACGTTGTCAATGTTCGAAATGGCAAGTTGTCGGCATTACGCAGGCGCAGTATGAAACAATAGTTTGCAATCATATTGTACACCTCGTACCTAGACAGACAGGGGTGTCGCCAGGTTGCCACAAGTTAACACATGGACAGCTGCAACCCTGAGCCCAATATATGCCGGTTCCTTGACTACCAATCATCTGGTATTTTGCGAATGG